CAAGGAAGAACTCTTGGACAGCCTTGGTGCAATCTTCCTTAATGCAGTCCCAATTAGTTTTGTAGAAGTTCCCATTAAAACCATCTGGTCCGGCTGCATTGTCAGGATTCATGGACCAGATTGCAGTTTTGACTTCATCCACATTAGGAAGGGCAGTAAGATTGGAGTTATCTTCATGGGTTATAAGGATAGGGATGTTATCCAGAAATTGGGAGTCCAAAGTGGTGTCCTGCTCCTTGAAGAGGTTATGGTAATGGGAAAAGATATCCTTCTGGATTTCATCCTGGTTAGTTGTCCATTTACCTTCACTTGTTTTTAGTCTCTGGATTTGTTGTCTGGATCTCCTTTGTCTAACTAGGGCATGAAAAAATGCAGTATTGTTGTCCCCCTCTTTCAACCATTTAATGTTTGCTTTTTGCTTCCAGTATTCATAATGGTGAGAGTTGGCTTGAAGAAGGTTTGCTCTGGCTTTGTTCATCAGGATTCTGTTATCAATGTTGGGTTTTCATCATATTCCATTTCAGTCTTTTTGAGCTCATCCTCCAAAAGGTTGACTTTTCTAATAATATTTCCAAATGTAGATTTGTTCCATGCTTGAAGGACTTTCCCCAGATTGAGAAGCTTATCACTTAGACCTTGCATGCCACCTCCAGTGTATCTACCCCAGGCAGACCTTATTGTCTCTTTGTATGAGGGATGGGAGCTCCAACAATTGATGTATCTGAATGGTCTTGGCCCCTGGTAAGTTGAGTTGGATTTTACTAGAATTGGGTTGTGGTCTGAACTGGCTTTGGGTAGGTGTTCAGTTAAAGTGTCTAGAAAAAGGTTGGAGTAAGTGGTGTTTATGAAAATTCTGTCTAGTCTTCTCAACAACCTGCCCAGTGATCTAACACCAGACCAGGTGAAGGGGCTTCCAGAGAAGGGAGGGGAGATGAGGCAGCTGTTGATAATGCAGTGATCAAAGTCCTGAATACTATTAAGGCAAGGCTTGCTATTGCCTTTGTGATGATCAAGGGAAGAGATTCTGTTGAAGTCACCACCAATAATTCAGGGGGAATTAGTGGATTGGCTAGTTGTATGCAGATCATCCCACAAAGGTTTTCTGTCAGCAGTGGAGAATTTGCCATAAACAGTAGTAATGAGGATAGGGTTATTGTTGAGGGTGAAATTGGTGTGGATTGTTTGGGTTTGGTCAGAGTGGGTAATGTAGGTAAGTTGAGAGTCTTGCCACATGATCCATATTTTGTTATCTTTTGAGTGGAATGAGTGGGTAAAACCAAACATGAATTGATACTGGTTGATTTTACAGGAATTCAGTTTTGGTTCAATGATGGCACAAAAGGTAATTTTATGAGTGTGGATAAGGTTGGCCAGTCTTTGAGCTTTGGAGCTTAGGCCACAGATGTTCCAAAAGAGTAGGTTCATTGAGAAACAGTGGGTGAGGAACTGAATGTTTGTGTCTTTTCTTGTATTCTCTTTGATTTCCTGACTGTCTGTGTGAGGTCCTTATCATTGTATTGAATATGTTTTGCAGGTGTTTGTTGTAAAGGAGGCTTTTTTGGAGTGGAAGTAGAAACAGGAAGTGTGA